GCATTTATGACTCCTTAATGTAGAGAAGATGATTGGAGTTAAAATTTTATAAAGAGCTTCTAAAATAACTTTTATATGTTTTTAGCTAAATTTTAACTAAAAATAGAGAGCATGATTGTAGATGCTCTAAGTCATCAATATATAGCAAGCAGCATATATCCCAGCTCACTTTAAAAGTCACGTTTCATCAATCGTGGTAAAATTACTTGCGCACCAATTAATCTGCAAACTCAAAACCCAATGAAAAACAAGCAAATTTTTTTCCTTATTACCAAGGCCGGTCCATTGACTAGACTTGTGTAAGAGCATGTCTAATGTAAAGACAAGGGGCTAGGTGCTGTTTTAGTCCCTCAAAATGGTACTATTCACAAAATCTAGCATCTTAAAATTTTTTTGTGGTTTTAGTGGTGATGAGGGATTAGGACTAAAACTCAAAATTTGTTATTTTAGTTTATTATTATTTTATTTGTGATAAAAAATCAAAGCATAAGAAAAGAAACTCAAAATTTTATTGAGATTTGAATGTAGAAATGTAAAAAGAATAAACAAGTACAAAGGTTTGAAGTATATAAAAATAAATTCAATTTTTTTTAAAAAAAAGTAAAAAAAACTGAACAGCCCAACAATTAGCCGTTAGCCAATTGTTATTGAAGACGTCACGTGGCAGATTCTCATAGGCCAAAACTTTTGGAAAAACAACTTTTGCTGTGCCACCTTGTTTTTTCCAAAATCTAACCATGGGGTCCACTCTTGCTCAAGCCAACACTTGGGTAAAGCCAGACCCTTTGGTCATCTCCAGTTATAGGGCTAAATATGGTAAATATTAATTTTTAAAGAATAGTGCATGACTAAATTTTTCTATCTCCAACTATGCAGGGCTATATTTAGGGTCCTTCATATTTTATTATTTTGAGAAAAACTATGGTATAACACTCATACATTCCATAACTATGTATTGTTTAATTTAATTAAACTACTATTTAGAGACAATATTCCATGACCAAGAATTCTTTATAATTTTTTTAAACAACACTTGAAAACATTTAAAAAGGTGACCACATTTATAAAATAATAATAATAAATAAATAAATAAAAAAGAATGGGTTTCAATGGTCTGACCTCCAACGACCATGACCATTAATTTTTTATAATTTTTTTTACGAATTGAAAATGGTTGGGTTTCTGTGGTCTGACTTCCAACGATCATGACCAATTTTAAAAAGGTTTTTAAAAATATATCGATGACGTCATCGCTTTTATTGTTGGCTACTGGATATGCATTTGCACGAGATGATTCGTGCTCTTGCCCACACTTAATAATTTATCTTCTTCAAAAGCACATGCATAGGGCCCACAAAAAATTTGGCATAGGCCAAAGTTAGGCTAAATGTGGCCTGGTTGGAGGGCTAAAGAACCAAATGTGGCCCTCCAAATTTGGCTAAAAGTTTGTTTAGCCTATGGCTGGAGATGGATTTTGCATTATTTTAGGGCTATATTTGGGATATAACCCATGGCTGAAGATGAATTTTGCATTATTTGGGATATAACCCATGGCTGGAGATGGCCTTATCTTGTCTTAGGCCAAATTAGACTGGCCAAACACATACATTAGAAAGTAATTTTTTTTTATTTGAGGCCAGATAAGTCCCATTAGACATGCTCTAAATGTACATATCTTATCTTGTTGTGCCTATATTTTTTAGGGAGTTTCACTAAAACACCCAAAATGGGGGGTTGAAATTATAAAAAAACCCAAGCACTATTTAAACATATAAACACACCCAAAATCCATCATTACACACACTCAAAACCCATTTATAAACACACCCAAAAAGTTGACTTTGGGGTTGATTTTGGGTGTGTTTCTATGTTTAAATAGTGCTTGGGTTTTTTTATAAATACATGTCTAGAATTGGGTTTATTTATAAATTTGTATATTTTTTATTTGGGAAAGATATCCACAAAAATTATTTGTTAGTGTTTGAATCTTTGACTAACGTAATTAACAATCATGCGGAAATTGCTCTAATTAACATGATCTGATCAAGTGGAAATGCTGCATGATTGTTGATCTTGAAACAATAAGTTTGCTTTACAAGAACCTGCAAGCAAACGTGATTCTGCAAGCATCCAATATAAATTTATCCAAAATAATTTTTTAAAAGGAAATAAACAAAAATTTAATTAAATGAAAATTGGTTATGAGACCATCAAACTCTAATGAAAAATGTGGGGTTATGAAGAATATATTTGTCTAACTTTTTATTATTATTATCAAATATAATTAAACTTAAACAGTACAATTAAAGACATCAACATGACATCTAAAGTACCAATCTCAAGAGGGAAACAAACTAAAATGTTAAAAACAAAACTAGAACAGACAAAAGCCGTACTAAAACTACTAAGCCCAAACAAAGCCCACAAACCCAACATAACCGAAACCCTAAAGCAACCCATGAGCTTAAATGAACCATATCACCACCATCTAAAGAAGTGTTGTCACGGTCACACGCATCACAACATCCGTAACAGATATGGGGAAATATGATTTCCAGCAATCTACTTGTGCATAATAGCGAACAAATAAAATTTAAAAAACAACATTGTCATAGAACAATTAGGTGATTTGCAACAATTTTCGTCAAAGACGATGTTGTTGATCCACCGTGCAACAGTAGAAACAGTAAATTCATATCGAAGTCGAAAACCAAAATACAAAACGCAAAGAAACAGGAAACAAGATCACTGCTCCACATCCTTTTGGGCAACCGATGAGACTCACAACACCATACCGGCTAAACCCCATCCCACACAATCCAACAACTTCCATTTTTGTAACTCCAAAATCTGAATTGGAGCTAAATATGTGTATATGTGGGCTAAAAGGGCAACCATATCAGACTATGTATTCAATCTTCCAACTTTTAAAGTTAAAAAGGAAAATGGAAACTGTATAAGATGGAGAGATGTCAAAAATATTGGGCCCTGCAAGTAACATCTTATCACATAACGATATTTCTGACTGCTAGGCTAATGGCGGAGTCACATTGTAAAAAATTTACAAATATAAAATACTTAGTTTTTAAAACTCGAGGACCACTTGGGAGCGCACCAAAGGCCTACGCCAATCCAACTAACACATGATTGGTTATTATTTTAGACTAATTTCTCTTAAGAAATATGAGTAGTTGTCTTCCAATCATGTTCTGATTTTATTTTTATTTTTATTAATATAAAAATTAGGATTATAAATTTACCATATTATCCTTTATTAATTAATACTTTCAATTCTTAATAAATTTACCCTAAAATTCCCTTGTGCCTCAATTCAGCATTTTAATGGAAAATAGCCTTGATTTGTCTATCAAAAGTATCAGGTTTGAACCCCCATAACATAAAAGTTGTGTGTGAAAAATCTCTCTAATTTATGTTGGCGTAACTTGTGGTATAAGTTGACTTTTCTTGTAGGCCAAGAATTCATATATTAAATGTAATTGATTTATTTTAATTCTCGATTTCCTACTAAATAGAATTAGGAATTATGTTGACTTGAGAGTTCTTAACCATTTTTTAATTCCCGATTTCCTTAACCTACAAGGTTTTAAGCAAGAATCTTGAGCCTCTGCATTTATCATTGATGCATTTATAAACATTTAATAAAATCTTAACCATTGAACTAATCTAATGGAGTTTAATGATCCCACGTCCAAAAAAAAGATGTTGGATTAAAAAAGATCACTACAGGATTACTTACCCCGTATCGTCTTTAGTAATAAGCTCAATTTATTTTTATTTCAGTTTTACCAAAAAACAAAACGCCTTTCATCTTCCCCACCGTCACAAACCAGACGATGTGGCTGCCGTTCAATAGACTCAGACTGAATTGGCTCTGGTTTCATGTGGTAATGGCTGTCGAAATGGCCTTCTTAATGCAAGCGTTTGCCAGGCTTCATTGATGGCTGTCGAATGGTCCTTACGATGTCTAATGACCCTATTGACAATACATGTTGACAATACATGGACCCTGAATGGGAAAGACATTATTCCATCCCAATTAACACCCTCGAACAGTTCCTCAAATCAAATAATTACACCCAGAAAGAACAGAATCATACAATTAATGTAACACATTTGAGCAATGTATTGTATAAAAAGAATCTTATAAATGAAACAAAATAATCTTCAAAAAGGACCACTGAAGACCAAATTTAACTATATAACAGCTCAGTTTGGCATACAATAAGCATTCAATAATCAGATTCTTCTCTCTTCCTCAGCTTTCTCAGCAGCCAAACAAGAAAAAACCATGAATAATACATCGAATTTCAACGGGGAAAGAATTTGATCAGTAAGAATTGCGAGGATAGAAACCTTGACGAAAGTGGGGAGAGAGAGAGCATGTCGTTATTGGACATGTGGACTCCACATAAATTTTTGATTCAAATGCAAGTAGCATGTTGTTATAATGCAATTGCTTGCCCTGAAGAAAATCAACACCAAATTATGCGATCATATTTGTCCAAAAAAATAAATAAAACCATATATCCCAGACTCACTTGAAAACCCACGTTTCATCAATCGTGACCGTTGGTAAAATTACTTGGGCACCAATTAATCTGCAGACCCGAAACCCAACGAAAGCGAAAGTTTTCCTTATGACAAACCTAAAGCTATTTCATGTTCATTTACAGAAGTCAGTGAAGTCACATCAACTCCCTACCCATATCACCATGAATATCACCAGAAATCCTAAGCCTCATCAGCTTTTGGATTCTCTCCAAGGAGAAAGACTTTCATGAAACGGGAAGAAGCAAAAGCTCTTCCTTATGATAAACCCAAAGCTGTACTCTTCCACAAGTCAGTGAAGTCACCTCAACGTCCTACCCATCATCATGAATATCACCAGAATCACCAAGCCTCGTCAGCTTTTGGATTCTCTCCAAGGCCAAGATCCAAAAACCTACTGCATTTTCCACTCTTTCTTTCAACTTTCCAGAATGGAAGAAGAAAAAGAAGAGAAACCCTCAACAGAGCTAACCCTAGCCGCTACTTCCAGTGCACCTCAGTCTCAGTGCCCACCAGAAGATATAGTTTGGACAACTTTGACTTTGGGGCTTCCATCTTCAACCTCCGAGAAGAGAGAAGCAGTGGATCAAAACCCTGCTCCTTCCATGAAAAAGGGCCCTTGGGAGATCAAGAAGAGGTTGACCACAAGCGACCTTGGAAACCGGTGCAAGCTTTTGGGGAGAAGTTTGGTGGAGAAACATGTTATGCCCTGCTTGGATGAGGAGTTTGGACAAAGGGTTTCGAGCAGAGAGGGTGCAAGGGTTATAGTTCACGATTGCGATACAAATTCCAACCATCAACTGATTCTCAAGTATTACAAGAGCTCCGACAGTTATGTTTTCGGTAGAAAGTGGGGAAGTTTGTGAGGAGGAGAGACTTGAACATGGGTGACGAAATTGGGCTCAGCTGGGATGTTCTCAACTCCAGGTTCTTGTTTTCGGTTCTTCAACGGGCAAACCAACAACCTGCTAGCTCTTCATCGAATTCAAGAACGAAGCATAAATGAAATTTTAACTAATTAATCCTCTTGTTTTCAAGTTTAGTGAACTTACTAATGAATATTTTTCTTTCCCTGACTACATTCCAACTCTTTTCTCAACTCTCTCGACACGTCGGTCAATGAGGACTTTCTTACTTTGTTTATGTGATGAAGATGTTGTAACCCTTTTTTAAATCAGAGTGCTGAATTTTTATTTTACCTTCTTCAATCGATTTTTTATTTTTCAACTGCTCAAGCCGTATAAGTTGTTTTTTAAGAAAAATAATAGTAGAAAAGAAAAATACAACTCAACCAAAAGTTGGTTTTGAGCCCGTCTAACTCTAATGAAAAATGTGGGGTTATGAAGAATATTTTGTCTAACTCGGTCCTCGGACTATGTATTCAATCTCCCAACTTGTAAAGTGATAAGTCCATATTTTACATATATTTATGCCTCCTTTGCTTATTTATTTCTTGATTTTCTTGGATTAAATTGTTGGGTTTAATGTATTTTGTGAGAATTGTGTAGTTGGTCCCTAATTAGAGGAATTGGACAAAAAGTTATCAAATTGGACTCAAAAACCATTAAGATGGATGACAAGGATTAATTGGAGACAAAGAAGATGTTTCTTAGAAGGCAATCAACCGGTCAAAGCTTAAAGGAGGAAGTATGGTCAAATCCTTGTGGAATTTGGAGAAGCAATCAAAGAGATATTGGGAAACCTATTTTTGGTAGTATTTGATTGTAACTAGGTTAAGGATTTGTGTATTATAAATAGCATAGGGTTGGCCCCATAGAGGGGATCCATACTTTTCACCACCCGAAAATACCCAATTCTTGCACAGAGAATCCTGCTACCGCCAGCACCCTTGCAGCTTTTTGGGAGTTCTCGAGTTCATCTTCATGTCTACCATCAACCACTCTGCAATTCTCAATAAGTTTATCATGTTCTAATTTCCTTTTTGCTAGGGCTACAATGTAGCCTAGCCATGAATACCTTATTTCTGTGTTTATGTTAAGTATCTTTTACCATTCTTAATGCTTTGAGTGCTTGATCACCACTCAATTGATTTGATGCTTGAGTTGACAATAGGAATATCCAACTTAGGATTTTGCTTCTAGTAATTGGTACCACAGATTACTTGAGTGAACTGGAAGGTTAATCAAGGCTTGTGTGGTTTCCATAAATTTCCATAGAACTTAATGGGTTTCTACTTCTTAGTTCTTCATCTAGGCATAGAGTGGGACAGTTGTAGGAATACTTTTGATACAGGCATGTCATATTGAATAATTAAGGAAAATTTACCATTAACATGGATAATAATTAGGATTAACTGTTTACAGGAATAGAGTAGAATTGGCTATGGTGAAATCGGAATCCTAGTGCTCATACCATCAATGTTTGCCGAATTTTATTATTATTTATCATTCTTATTAATCAAAACCTCACCATTCGAACATTCAGATAAAGTTTAGGATTAATCATAATCAATACTCAGTTAATTAGTCTTAGTCTCTATGGAACGATACTCACTTACCACTACACTACTTTGCTACGATTTTGTATCCTGCAATTTCGTTAATATAAAGTTAAAAAGAAAATGTAAACTATACAAGATGGAGAGATGTCAAAAATCGAAGTTATGCTATGATCCTTTAAGTACATATATTACAAGGTCAAAGTCTGAAGTCTCCAGTTGCCACTTTCAATATAAAGGCAAATGGAAACTACTAAAACACTAGAAGGAGCAGAGTTAGAACTTCATAGTACAGTGAGTTTTTGAGACTATGGCTGTCGAAATTGCATTTTTAATGCCAGCGTTTGCCAGGCTTCACTGATGAGCTGCTGCCAGCGGTAGATTGCCAAGGACCTAACAAGAATTAGGGTAGGGGAATGAGTAAAGAAAAAGGGGCGGCGTCGAGAAGAGGAAAAGAAGGGGAGAGTGAACGGGGATATGTTGAAATACAGTGGCAACAGTAAAAGTTAATGAATTCAACAGAACTGTTAAAATACAGACAGAAGGATTAGGTGCATACTTGACAAAACCTTCGAGGAACTTTTGATCAATGATGTCCGAGTAGCTTTTGTTTCCAACAACCTAGGTGATGGCTTTGGAAGTTTAGATGGCGCAAACCTTGAAATGAGATAAGAAACAACCGAATCATTAGATTCATAGGAATAAAATGAGTTTAATGCAGGCAAATTCGAATGAAAATCCAACCTTCCAAATCAAGCACTCTCAATTCCAATTAAATTTATGAAACTGTGACCCAGTAACAATTATAATAAACAATGGTGCATCAAAAGATTGTGAATTTAATACGGAAAAAGGTAGCAAAGTTTAGACAACAACCAGCGTTCTGGCAATTTAAAAGATGTAAAACATGACAAGTGCAGCCAGCAACTTTTAAATATTGACCAAAAAAAATTTCCAGCAATTAATTATTGATATCACTAACAAAAGGACACCTTAGCAATTACATGAGGAGACGAGGAAATGAGAAACTCACCTTACTGTGCGCTGGGAAGGTGTCTTCTCGCCTCGTGCGTTCTCAGCTTGAGTTTTCTGGAGTTCTGTATTTCCAGCTTTTGTACTTTCTGTTGGTTTTGTAACTTCAGGGAAAAGAGTAAACTCCATAAGACTGGCCATTGAACCCTCGGTTTCTGTTCCCATTGAAAGATCACCATCGGATATGTCGCTTAATCTCTCCCCAGAATCTTCCTCGCCAAAGCCCAAGAGCTCAAAGTCTTCAGTAAAGTTTTGACTTGCCTCACCTCCATGCTTTGGTTGAGTCGAATGTTCATTATGATGTCTAAAGTCATCGATTGACTGCTCAGAACTATTTTCATAATGCTTCGGTTGAGCCGAACGGTCCTTGTGATGTCTAAAGTCATCTATTGACCGCTCAGAACTAGCTTCAGAATGCTTTGCCTCCCCTCCATGCTTTGACCGGGGTGAATGTTCCTTATTATCTCTAAAGTCATCTATTGACTGCTGAGAACTAGCTTCAGAATGCTTTGTCTCACCACCATGCTTTGACTGAGGTGAGTCTTCCCTATGATGTCTAGAGTCATCCGTTGACTGCTGAGAACTGGATTCAGAACGCTTATCACTATGCTCCAAGCCTGAGCCTTTTCCACCTGGCATTCTTTGGCTCTGTCGAGGCGTCCCAATTGAATGTCTTCTTGGAGAGGAAGACCCATATCTTAGTGAGTTCATGCCACGGTGTACCCCATTACTATTGGCTTTGAGCAATCGCTCAATCTCCTCATCTTTCTTAGCAATTGTGTCCCTGAATGATGCCACCTGCAAGATTTAACAAATAATTACACACATAAAAAGAAACTAGACCTGGGGCTCGGTAAATTTATTTTTTGTGTTCTTTATTTTTTCCAGAACAGAGAACAAGTTCATTACCAGTAGTAGCTTTAACCCATTCCTTTCTGAGGAAATGAAGATAAAGAACCTATTCAATTTTCTATAATCTTGACTTATTTTACAAGATTGTGAACTAGTTTTAAAAAGGAACGGAAATTCCATCACAATTTAATTCAAAAGGCAGGAAGGAACTATATCTAGGTAGACATGTTTTAAAAAAGAACTTGCACCTGTTCCATAAGTTCTCTTACATATCTTCCCTCTCTGTTGCTCCGTGCAGCACCCAGTTCGACGCCAGAAACCCTCTCTGCAAACTTCAGTGTACTTATAGTTTCAGAAAAGGATTGAACTTCCGGATTCAGCTGTACAAACATGAGGGTTTTTGCTTGACCACCTGCAGTTAGAGAAGAAAGCAATAAATAAGCCATCCATCAATTGAAGTTATTGAGAGTTACAGAATATAACTTGCAACGCATACTAATTGAACCTTGTTATCAAGAATGAAACCAAATTAATTGGACAAGTACCTAAAGAACTCTGAAGCACTTGAGTTAGTTTGCTATTTCTATATGGTACATGTGAATTCTTTTGTGCAAGAGCAAAAATTACATCCCCAAGAGCAGACAGTGATTTGTTTATATGCTGTGCCTCCCTAAGTCTATCTCCAGTAGCTTCAGAGCGATCCACTCGTTCACTGCCAGCAAGATCCACAAGATGTAGACTACCACGCAGAGCAGTGTCAGTCTTCAAGTCCACACCTCGAACATGAACAGTCAGAACACTGCACCATATAATTGATTAAAAACCAAGTCTCATGGAAGAAAACAAATATATAATGTTGGAGAAAAAACTTTGTACTCAGAATATAACCTATGAGATCTGCTGCTTCTTTCATTTAGGGCAGTGGCACCGACTGCCCGATTCATCAACCCAATATTCATTAACTTTAGGACGTCTGCAGTTGAGTTAACAGGATGCATGCTTGCATCAGGGACAGCTAACCCATTTGGTAGGGTAGTATTCCAAATCCCAAGTGTGTGCAAGTTAAAGAAAACAAATCTACTTTGATACCAAAATGTGGAAGAAAGGATCAATATCATCAACAAGGAATTATACAAAATAACTAAGATCAAACTACTAGTCAATGCAAGCAGTCTACTTGAGACTCAAGTCTCAACCATGAGTCACATTTTAAAAGGTAATAAAAATTGACGGAATAAAGGATATCTTTTTTGAGGACTCTCACTTGAGAGTAGATCGCGAACTTGTTCATTGTATATCTCAACCATTTGAACGCCAACTTCATACGCTATGGAGCTTTCCCTGCTCTGAGATATTTGGAAAAGATCATTTAGTGCTCGATAGTTGACACCCCAGTCATCTGTTGATGATACACTAGGCCCACTCTAGAAGTAACACCAAAAATATGTTAGAACATGGGTAAGAATAATGTACACAGTATATTGAAGAAAACATACACAAATTCATTCATACCATTGTATACGTCTTTCCTGAACCAGTTTGACCGTAGGCAAATATACAAACATTGTACCCGTCTAGCACAGAACGAATCAATGGTTGGGTGTCCAAAAATACCTCCTCTGTTGACATAGGTCAATATAAGTATACCAGTTATTACGAAAATAATCTATGCCAACATCATTTGTTACACAATATTAGAAACTAAATACCTTGTGTAGCTGCAGGACCAAATACTTTGTTAAATTTAAATAGCCTGCGGCTGTCTTTTCCTTGTTTAGAGGGATTTGCAACAACTATATCACCATTTTCACCAACATACTCTATGGTGGTTTGCTTCTGACTTTGCCCCGGAAGGAATGGTCTTATTCGACAGTACACTCTAATATTACCTTGACCAAAACAAGCATCATAATCAACTAACAAGCAATCAATTCAAAATATGACAATAACACAGTTATATTTGACAATGTACCTTTCAAATCCTGAACCTCATTATACAATTTCCGATTTTCATCAAGAACAACATGATACTTTTCAGCAGCATCTGTTAGTCCTTTCAGCTTTGTGCCTATTGAAGGTAAAAAGCATAGATTGTGAACAGATGCCCAGCCCATGAAAAAAATTACAAGTAGACAGAAAAATTAAGCTGTTACGTATCAGTCTTACCCAGGTAATTAAATTCTGCAGAGTAACTTGTTTTTGTCATCAAGATTTCATGTCTTGTGGACTCCAAAGCAGCATTTAATTCCTATACAGCATCAGCATATCATGTTATAGAATCAATGTCAACGCACTGACTCTATGAGACTAAGTAAAGGCAGTAAAGGCAAACCTTCAAAGCTCCAAATTGGTTAGTTAAAAAACTTTGGTAAGTGTGTTCTTTCTTTTTCCATCTCCATGATTCAGATTCCAAAGATGCCTCTAGTTCTTTCTGGTTCTTATTTGAATCTGTTAGTATGCACTCGAGTTCTTTTAACCTCCTTTCCAATTGAAGTTTAGCTTCTTTTGCATTTGCTTCTAACTTCAGGGAATGACTTTCGTGCCTGCTTTTGGCCATTTCTAGTTCTTGTTTCAGTGTTGAAATCTCTTTATCCCTGCGATCCTTCTCTTCCTTTAATCGCACTGCATCCTGCTCCTCAAGTTTTTTCTTCTCCTCTATATCAAACTTCTCAATCTGAAAAAATGATCGTGTTATAGCAAATAGTATAAAAGACAAGCAATGTAACTAGTAAAAAGAAAAAGTTGCATTAAAAGGTATCTGGCTCTTTCTTCTTTTTTTTTTTTGGTAATTTTATTATTCTAATCCAAATTTCAAAGATTAAATGTGAATTTTAAAATAATAACCATCTTTCCCAAAAAAAAAAAAAAAAAAAAAAAAAAAAAAAAAATCACACTTTAACAAATACAAATGTGGTGTGTAGAGATTAAATACATGGAGACAAGAGCAATAAAGATAAATGATGCATGCTTCCTCCAAATGTGATATTTGATGAACTGTCAACCAAGAAACCATATGACGTTGGCATACATGATATCATATTACACTGCTGCCTACGGTAAGTCAGATTCGGGGTCGGTGTGGATCGCAGAATCAGGTTTTCAGAATCCATTACCTAATCCTTGAAATGGCATTCTTAGGAACAAGTAGAACCTAGCAATTTTCATTCCAAAGTTAAAAAAAGTTGGAACAAAAGCATTTTTATTGGGACACCAATGAAATTTTACCTGGAAGCACAGATAGAAGAGCATGTTCGCCATTATTATTTCTCATAAAGTCAAATTAGGATAATGGAGTTAGAAAACCTACTAGTTTTCCTAGCTTTTGAAAAATCTTCATCTTCTGGGTCTTTGATACACATGGAAAGAAAAATCCAAACTAATTGTACTAAACAAACCTGGAAATGAAACACTAATCCCATTCCTTAACCATAATTCCGTAAAACGAACACATACATGGTTGATATATCCTGTTAACTTAAAAACTATGGATTTGAAGTGGATGAGATATCAATAAGATGAGTAAAAGAGAAGGCATGCATGAAAGCCATGTGTTTCTCAGAGTGTAAGACACAAAAAAGTCATTAAAATCAAAGAATCAACAGTACGAAATGCTTCGTCAGTAGTAAATTCAAGATAGGAATAAAAGTTTAAAATAGTACCTTCATACTCTGAAGCAGTTTCAGAACAACCTAAAGGAAGGGAAGTAACAACAACAATTGAAGATCAATTAGATTAATACCAAAAATCTAAATTTGGATTTACAAACGAAAAAAACAACCAAAAGCTTTACTCAGTGTACCTCATTTTCTTCGGTAGTCCCTGATGCGAGGGTTTCAAGTACTTTTATTTTCAATAGAAACTTCTCCTCGCGGGCCTTATATATATTGTTTTGCTACAAGCATCCAACAATAAAAACAATTAATACTAATGAGTAGAATAAGAAAACGATATTCTCTGATGAAACAAAGCTGAAGACTTTACAATTCTCAGGTTCACTGCTTGATTTGCAAATCGTTGCTCAATCACTTGCATGACTTTTCTCAGAAGATATGCAACACGCTGAGCAAATTATTATAAAGATAGGTTAGACATACAAAATAAATATACAACATAGACCAAGGAATCAAATTATAACTGTGCATGGATTCATGAATGCTTTTAACAGTATGGCATCCATGTATCTTCTTACTGCCATACATTAGGTACATCACCATTGTTTCTGTCAATGCTGTCATCCAAAATCCTATTCCCAACATTGAAAAGTGATCTAGTAGATGCATTCTGCAACAAAGAATTGCAACATCAAACAAAATTTTGACTAATATAAAGCAAGAACTTATCAATGTACATAAAACAGGATGTACAACACGAAACAAAACAAAAAAATCAAGAGATTACATCTAAACTGGTTGATTTGATTGACTCCAAAATCTTAGCATTAGAGAGATCAACAAGAGTCCCCTGCTTCAATTGCTGTCCAATATGATGTACTAGCGCAGCTGATGGATCTAAAAACAAGGGAGGGAAACATAATTAAAAGTAATGTCTTTACAACACCAACAACTTATGTGCTAGAATAACATCTATCAGTCCAAATAAAAAATAAGGTTCCGCATTTACTTAATTCCGGGCTTCAATTATTATTTTCATAATAATGCATTAATCCAATTAGTCTGGCTAGGCATGCTGAATGAAACTAAGTATTCCAACCCACCACCCATTCCTCCCAACATCCAATCTAACGTTAAAAGTTTATTGCACTTAAAGTATCAGCAAAAGTACTCCAAAGAAAAAGGGCTCACAATTCTAGCTAGTAACTAACTTTCACAGCCTACCCCTGTAACTCCTAGGTTACTCCAAATTGGGCACTACGCTGCGTGGCACACAGTATACATACATGATCACATATACGCAGTATAGGAATTGGCATATACTTTGACAAGACTAATGCATGTAAAACTAGATATCCAAATCAGAATTTCAAAATTTGTCACTACATGCAGGGTCATACAAGTCTATGAAGTTTATGATTTCTACCTGTCACTCGAGATGTTGAATCAATGGAATTTCCTCCAGTATCTTCTCTATTTTGAGTAGATTCTTGTCCACATGTCGAGACATCCCCTTGGGAACGATCAATCCCCTTTAAAGATTCTACCTCTAATAAATAATTTTCTGCCTTTGTCTGATTTTTAGTGTTCTCTCCCCAAAAACCAAAATCAAAAGAAGCTTTAAGTGCACTAAGGCAATGCAAAACTGGCACCATAGAACCCTGCAAATGATCTCAGACCATAAAATGATACGAAGAAGTTACAAGGTAGAGAAATAGTAAAGACTCAAAGGTTGACTTTTCCAACCAAATACAGGTACGGGTTAATCCATCCAGTATACTTATACATAAATCTAAGACTTAACAGTGGGCTGACCACATAGACCAGGATAATATGGTTTTATAATTATCCAGAACATTATCAAAGCATCCTCTCTGTGTTAATAAATAAATACACCTCAAGTATGCACCCAGAACTCTACAAACAGCGGAGCTAAGACCAAGTTGGCCATAGGATGCTCAAATTCAATGTTATATACAGTCACCAGATGGACCGGATTCCTCAGATTCATGATTGTACCGGGATTATACTTAGCTTCTATGAGATCAGACAGAAAGAACCAGTGACTTGTTTGACTGATAAAAACAGGTTAAAAACCAAAATAGTGAAAGAAATATTAATTTACCTGCTCTAGGTCTAACAGTTCAAAGCGGGGGAATCCTAATTCATCCACAGCTGCCAGAAACCTTGTGATATTTGCAAAACCAGGGTCCGAACTCCCTCCCTAAAGCAGGGAAAAAACATTCAGATCAAGAACGCAATATGTAAAACCATGTACAAATGGTCAATACCAAGCTAATACAATTTAAAAGAAAGAGAAGAAAACAGTCTTAAGAATCTAATGCACAACAAAGTTAAATAACGAGACATTTACAAGCAAAGAAAATGGAACAATTAATCCTACCATTTCAACCGAACCAGGACATAGCTTATTTAAAATTCTGCATAAAACAGTGCCATCGATTAAGCAGGCCCTGAGTTCCTCCTCGGAAGCATCCAATGGCAATCTTAAATATGGAACGATAAAATTTAACCATTCCACCAGAGATAATATCTGGTTACCTAAACAAATCAGAGTTCAAAGGTAAGGATGGGACCGATTACGTGCACATAACTACAGAGAGAGTGAAAGAGTGAGTGAGATAACTACCTTCAATTGTGCTGCCAAAACTTTCCACTAGTTCAGCATTTTCACCACGAGTCCCATTTATAATTTCGAATCCCCCATTCTCATCTTTGTGTGACTTCGACCCCCCATTCTCATTTTTGTGTGACTTCGACCCCCCATTCTCATCTTTGTGTGACTCTGACTGGGTGTTCATGATAAAACTTCCGCAAATGCCCGGTCCTTGTTATCAATTGCAGACACAGAGCTACAAGGAAACAATAATACAATGCAAGGAGTATATATCAGTCTATATAACTGGTAACAAAAGTCTTAAGGGTGGAGAAAAGACCTAATATGGAAATTTCCCCGAAGAAACTATCAATACAAGGCCGTGCATGTGTGCCACATGCAGATATCACATAATCATCAAAAGCACTATGCCTCACTTGAAAATCCAATATTTCATAACTTCTTGCCCTCATGATTCACGATGCATTGGCATTCCAACTAAGTAATCAAATCACTAGAGAAAAATAACAATTTTGTACATACCAAATTCAGCCATTAATTAATTTCCACCGTGCAGCCAATATAGTAGCATTCTTGTCCGTTGCAACATTACTTAAAGTGCGATTTATAAATAAAACATTTAAATCATATTGAAAATCGTTCATCCAAGCCTCAAAATGAACTCTTTTATGCTTCCGGAGTTTAATAAAATCAGCAAAAATAAAAATAAAGGTAAAGCTCCTAAAGTACATTCCTTTCTTCACATACACTTTATCTAATAAGAAACTCACACACTCAACTGGACGCCACACACCCATATGTGTGTGTGTATATATATATATATATATGATAAATATGTTGACTGACATAAGTAGACCATGTTCTTCTCCTATAAATTAAATAAATTACAAATAACCCTTTATCTTTACCTCATCCCAGCCTTTTTTTTTTTTCTCAGCCACCAAACAGACCCTAAATCATATCGACCCAAAAAATAAACCAAAAACTCAAGAGAAATGAAAATAAAATCCCTAACAGGCTAGCAGCTCAAATCTGACGCTCAAATTAGACAATTTCAAGCTGCATTGTCATTTCACTCACACAATTCACAAACTCCGCAATCAGATCGGAAACAAACAAAAAAAAAACCCTAACTTTCAGCAAACAAATGCACGAGAATGTACGGACGGAATGTGGCCAAAGATTTACGAACCTGACGGGGCATACCAGACAGATCACACCACAAAGAGAGCTTCGGGGCCGGCCGGAGGAATTCGAATTCCTCCGAGAGATTGCGAATGCCGGAGAGGAAAGACCAAATGCTGAAATTCTGAGGACCGATGATATAAAATGAATTTATTTTTTTTTTTTTTTTTTTTTTTTTTTTTTTTTTTTGTTTTTAATTTTTTTTTTTTGATTTTGATTTCGTTTTTATGGTCCGAGAAGAGAGAGGAAGAAAACTTTTTTGGAAAATAGAGGGAGTGAAATGAAAGATATGGGGGGTTGGTTGGGAATTGGGATTTTGAGTTTCTTCTAACTTTCGGGTTTAGAATTAAGAGGCTGTACTTTTTGTTAATTTGCAGTTTGGTCCCTCCTCCACTTTCGGAGTGGGGTTCCCGCCTTGTTATTTTTGTCTTTGTTGTTGTTTTCCGGATTTTGAATTCCAATTTAAGCCTCCGGCCAACGAAAAAAAAACTATTATAATTTAAAAATAGATGGCGCGTGGATGTGGACGTGCGCGCGGCGCTGCTTATAGTATAGCAGAAGACCGCACAAATGCTTATCCTTTCAATTTCCTTTTCTTGGTAGTTTTCTTATAACAATATCAAAATCAATGTGAAGAACAAATATGGAATTTTTGTTTTTAAAGGATGATCACAACTTCACACCTTTCAATTTTAAGGAGAAATGTTACCATAGAGGTTATACCTACCAAAACTGAAAATTGTTACCTTACAAGCACGAATTTATTCACTAATTAGTTATTGACTTATCGATATTCCTTAATGAAAGATATTCAAATTCGAAATAATTTTATTAAAATCGGTAGTTTGTGAAGTTTTTGTATGAAGCAACTGGTTCACACCTTCAATTTTTATTCTTAGTGAGAGTATGAGAGCATTCCGGCTTATATTCCAATATACACTTCACGACTGGAGATGTACGTACTGTAGGTGTTGCCTTAGGCAATGAAAACCATTTAACAAACAAAAATTGGAAAAAATAAAGTTTATTGATTTGTCAATTTCAATAAGAGGACCCCCATTTATTTATTTATTTCTCAATTTCATTTCTTTTTTTTTTTTTTTTTTTTTTTTTTTTTTTTTTTTTTTTTTTATTAATTAATGCGCTGCTTTATTTCATTTTAAAATGTTGTTTGTCAATTGAACAGAAAAATAATAATATGAAAAATAATCTAATCGGAATAGTAGAACCTAATACAAGCTTGGGCCTGGTTTTTTCTACTTGGGCTGGGCTTATTAAACTTAAATTTTTTTTGGCGTCAAATGTACGAGGGTTTTGTACCCAAGCAGAAATCGAAGACGTGTCGCCTCCGCCTCCGCCTTCTCCTTCGTCTTTGCTTACGTCTTTGCTCTTTGTGGCTTTCTGAAGGTAGATTTACTCTCTGCATCTCTTCTCTTCTTCTGATGTTTGGTGGTTTTGGGTATGGGTTAGTTGTGTTGGAAAACTTTGTTAATTTCCAATACGATAATACTATGTTGTTGAAATTTGGTTTGAAAACTCAATGGCTGTTTAGAGTATTGAGTAATTGGTTTTGCTACATCTAATTTATTTAAGCAGCCCATCTTATGCTCATAGTCTTGGAGTTTCTATTTGATGTATCCCACTGAAAGTTATGGCTTGTGTTAGCTTATACTTTGGTGGCTGTTCCTGGTCATCATGTACGAGTGAGTATTTGATCGAACCCACAAGTTTTACAACATGGGTTTTGTTTTGTATTTGCTTTTCTGTTTTGGGAATTTCTGTTTTGTTTTGTGATGCTAAAAAAAATTATCTAACTTCAAGCTTCGACAGTTTAACTTCACAACTGATTTGTGCTATCTAGTTTAGACTTGATGAAAATATTAACCACTAAATTTATTTGAGGCTTCATCTGAATTTATTTGTTAATTTTGTTCATTGTCTTCATGTCTGAATTCAGTCTCCGCCAGCCGAACAGGTTATGCTAATTTTTTTTAATTTTTCTTTAGATTTTTTATCAAGTCATCCCACACTTTGTTTCTATTTTTTTTTCTGTCTTCTTTCTCTGGATGAACCTATAACTTATCACTAGTTCTCTAATTTTGTTTAGTTTATGCAATGGGAATTTGGGTGTACCATGTGAAGGAAATGAGAGACAGGCACTTCTATCATGATTTCTTTGGACAGATTGTTGCTTTCTAAATTAGAATTTCAGTATTAGACTTCTACTTTCAATGCTCTAGGTTTCTGCAGATTTTGATTAGGATGCATGATGCCTTTGCATCATTTGGCTAACATGGGTTTTTTTCCCATTCATTGTCCTAGCTTTCTACGTGGATAGTCGGCGGGGAACAACTGCTACAAAAAGTATTCTCATTCCTGCAGCAATTACTGATTGTTGGTGGACCTTTCAAATTGCTACCATTCCTCTGATTCTTGGTGCATTGATAAGGTAATTAACTTTACTGATTGTTGGGTGAAAACTTTTGTCTCACTTAGGAAAAATTATAATTGGCTGCCTCGTATGTTTGTAAGTTTCAAGGGCTTCTGTTTATCTTAGTTATCAGATAGGTGGTTATTTACACTAACTGACAGGTTAATGACTGCAAGGGGTCTATACTGCGCTCAAATTCTTATGGTTTTTGTTTTTAATGTTCTCTTTGTAGATATACTCTATAAAGCTTTTGGGAAAGCTTTACACTTAACCTCTCCAATGGCGACTGAAGCACCAGAGCAAGCCCCCCAAGCTGATGGAGTCCAATCTCTTTCAATTTCCGAGGCTCCACCATCCAGCTCCTCAAACCCAACCATCCAGTAAGCTTCTCTCACTTTTCGTATCATTTCTAATTTTTTCCGTTGATCTTAACTTACTTCAAACTTGTGGGTGTGATTTGGTGAAGAATGAGTTTGGAGGAGAGGTACCAGATTTTGAGGAGTGTGGCAGAGGAATGTATTCAGGAGGACGAACTTCGGAATTTGCTGGCTCATAAGTCCGAACCCATCGCCTATGATGGGTTTGAACCCTCCGGTCGAATGCATATTGCTCAGGTGTTTTTTCAAATTTTCATTAGCAATCATAAAATTCATAACACATAATTGATGTTGATTAATATATCTGTAAATTTCATAGTTGATTTTGAACAAGATTTGATACTTTTTGTGGAGAGAAGGTACTCAAATTGAGACTCTGCAGTGTGTTATTCTCGTGTATTGATTATTTGGATTGCAACGGACTTTCTTGTGTTTTGAAAGAATAATTGTAGTAAGAAATTTAAGGGCATGTTTTCATTATATCATTGTTAATTTTGTGAGGTTCAAATGTGCTGTTGTGTAGGGAGTTATGAAGACGATAAATGTGAACAAGATGACCTCTGCTGGCTGCAGAGTGAAAATATGGATTGCAGATTGGTTTGCAATGCTAAACAATAAGATGGGGGGTGATTTGAAAAAGATAGAGACTGTTGGGCGCTACATGATAGAGATATGGAGGGCTGCTGGGATGAATTTGGACAATGGAAAAGTTGAGTTTTTGTGGTCTTCAAAGGAGATTAATTCGAAAGCAGATGAGTACTGGCCTCGTGTGATGGACATAGCTCAAAAGAATAATCTTAAAAGGATAATTAGGTAGCTAGCCTATTACGATGCTTATTGTGCCTTTTATATCTGTTGAATTTGGACTTAATGTATTTTTTTCTTCTATTTATCCAGGTGTAGTCAGATTATGGGTCGAAGTGAGCAAGAGGATTTAACTGCAGCCCAAATTTTCTACCCATGTATGCAATGTGCAGATATATTCTTCCTTAAGGTGCTTGTTGTTTTACTTTTGGATACTTTATTAATATGTTTTGTTTCCCATGTTGCCTTATGTTGTGACATACTGTAGACTTGGCTTCATCATTTGCTATATTGCACTGATTAGCGAGGGAATTGTGCTAGTTTTTATGTGTGAATGAAGTATATGTTAGGTCCACTTAGAACACGATGCATTTAATTTGTGATGCTTCAGTTCTTGCACCTATTATATAAAGGGAGATTCACTAATATACCCAATATGGGGGCCCAAATTATAAAAATACCCCATATGAAATGAACTTTATAAACACACCCAAAACTCATTTACAACATAACAAAGAGGCTTTAACTTCTTATAAATTACAAAACTACCATAAATTTCTTAAAACAAGCCCAACCCCAAAATCTCATAAAAATACCCAAAACACTCAATAGGGCATTAAAGTAATTTAATAATCAATATTAAATTCAATAAGGCCAGCTGTCATTTTTGGGGGTTTTTTTGGGTTTGTTTATAGAAATTCAATGATGGAGGGTTTATCTATAATATTAGTGCTAAGAATGGGTATATCACTAAATATCTCTTATATAAATTTACTTGAATATGAACATCTTAATAGTGAAAAGTGCAAGGAGGAACATAAAGATCCATTTACTGGAGAGCCCTACAAAAGGCTTTCCTAACACTTAAATATTTATTTAGCTCTTGTTTTTCGATTGTGTCTCCTGATCATAATGCTTATAACAGAGAAACTACCAGATTTTTGCAATATGGAGAAGAATGAAGAACATCATATAACTTTTAGGTGTTTTGAACACATAAGTTGTCTTATTGTGCACAAAGTCAAATTACATAGTGACGTGTGAAATGTTTTTCCTTTGATAGGCTGACATCTGCCAGTTGGGAATGGATCAACGCAAAGTGAATGTTCTTGCAAGAGAATATTGTGATGACATCAAGAAGAAGAACAAACCTATTATCCTGTCACACCGTAACATTCTAACTCCTATTTCTGATGTTGCAATGTTATGTTTATGCTTTAACATGAAAGTACTTACACATTATTTGTTTGTTTTTCTTAATGATGATTTGCAGACATGTTACCTGGTTTGCAACAAGGGCAGGAGAAGATGTCTAAAAGTGATGTATCATCCTCCGTATTCATGGAAGATGAAGAGGTGAGTTGCTTGCTACTAAAGGTGAACTAAACTTGCAAGTGTTAAATCACCTGTATAAGCTGCAGATTAATTGGAAGACAAATGTACTCAAGTTTTAAGCTAGGGGTTTAGCTTTCAATGTATGCCACATAATATTTATTCTATTTTTTGACATATATCATTGAATCTCAGGCTGAAGTGAATTTGAAGATAAAGAAAGCTTACTGCCCTCCAAATGTTGTTGAAGGGAATCCATGCATGGAGTATGTGAAGTATCTCATCCTACCTTGGTTCAATGAGTTTATTGTTGAGCGCTCTGAAAAAAATGGCGGAAATAAGTAAGTGATAGACTTTTGATTTATACTGGAAAAAAATAATTTATTTGAAAAGCTTGTGCTTGTTTGCCTAATTGAACTTCATATTAGTTGTAATTGCTTCCCCACCCCTCTACCCCCAATACAGGACCTTCAAAAGCTTTGAAGAATTGGCTGCTGATTATGAAAGTGGTGAGCTACATCCAGCTGACCTAAAATCAGCTTTATCAAAAGCATTGAACAAAATACTGGAGGTAGGCTTAATTCTTTATATGCCATGTTCTTTTCATTTTGAACAAAATACTGGTGGTAGGCTTGACTTTGTTTTTCCTGAATGCAGCCTGTACGGTCACACTTCAAGAATGACAAAACTGCCAAACAGCTATTGCAAACTGTCAAGGTATTTTCTGGTTTTTCCTTCAAATAAAAATTTGTTTTACATATCTCAACATTATTAATTCGAAGTTGCCCTAAGGTATAAATTTATTAGTTAGAGGAAAACTCAACCAAGTTTTTCTCTGATGTAGAACTATAGAGTCAGCAGGTGATGAATGCAATGGAGCTTGGACTTCTCATCTTTTCCCTTCTGCTAATAATTAAGACATGTTCGGAGTTTCTAATGGTGAACTGAAATGGTAGGGGAAACTTATTTTTTTGGCAGAAACATTTGATATCCTTAGTTGTTTTTCGATTCGATCTTTCTTACATACTGAACGATGCCCTCAAGGTATTTTTATATACGTGTCATGAAATTGTTTTGGTTCCCATCTTGTTTTCCTATGTGCGCTGTTTCACATGTCTTCTAAAAATTCAGAGGAAGCATTTTTCATTAACCATTTTGTTTTTCTTTGGTCAAGAACAATGATGAAAATCCATTATGTCTGTTTATCGGCAGGGTCAAAATGATTTGAACGACAGTTTGAAATAGAATATTGTATTGTGTCAAAGATGGCATTTAAAATCGGATATTACTATGGACTAAATAACCCCTAGATTTTAGCTAAACAAGAGAGAGAAAGTGCATTCAAATTCTAAATTCTATCACACCTTACCCTTTTTGTATGTTTATTTTGGGGTTTTATTTTTTTATTTTTTTTTTATTTTTTTTTTTTTTTTTTTTTGAGACTTTTTCTATTGAGAGGGGCGATAGTATACTAAACTCACACGCACAACACGTATGCTAGTATTTGAACCCAGGACCTTGCCTGAGGGAGTAAATACTCCAAACAACTACATTACTGTGTCTTATGCTATTTTGGGGAGTTTGTAGCAATAAGTCCCATGCAACAACTTTTTCTAACAATCAAAGAGGGCAAAAATGGAGATGGTAAAATCTAAATCTAACCCCATTTATAAATCATAATCAAAATTATCAACTTATGTCACGTATGTGTCTGGAATGGTTGTTTAGCTACTATATTACCCTTAAATTTGAATTTATTATTCAGCTTATTTAATGTTAAATTGGAGAAAATTGGCATTTCATATCCTTGCGAGGAGTGTAGATTTTCATTTCTTATCGGAAAACTTTTTTCAAAACGTATAGCCGCTCGGCTATACGCTGGGTTTTCTTAATAAAAAATAGTATAGCCGATCGGCTATACTCGGGGGTTTTTTAAAATGAAAATAGTATAGCCGCACGGCTATAACGTTTTGAATGGAGGGGCGCTAGGTGCCAGGCCTCTTTAAAGAAAATAATAAATCGTATAGCCAGGCGGCGATACTAAGGTTTAATTATTAAAAAACATTATAGCCGTGCGGCTATACCGTTTTGACACTTGGCCAAGCGGGTGCGAGGCGTCAGCCGGATCCCGTTTTTTAAAACAAAGCTTAGTGTTTTTGTTAAAGAGTATAGCCGCACGGCTGTACCGCACGTGGCGAACCAAGCGGGTCCTCTTTAGGCTTGACGGAAGCCACTTCTTGTTGCGCCCGTGAGTAGAAGGCAAAAAGGCCCTTCGATAACAAGTTTTTTTTTGGCGGGGTCAGATAACAGTTGACACTTCACAGTTACAGACGAAGGAAAAATGGAGGAAGACGGAGGAGAACGAGCTCAACGGCGCAATCTGACGAGCTCCGAAACCCTACTCTCAGAGCCACACCTCGATCCACCGTCCACGTGTCCTGAAACCACACTCCATCCCGGTGAGGAGGACCGCACGGAATCGAAACCCGAGCTGAACCAGACCGAGATATTCCGAACTCTCGAAGTGGTCGAGAGGGACTCTCTCGCCATCGCCGACAGCTTCACCACTCTCTTCGCCTCCCTTCGCTTGGCTCTTTCTGAGGTCTCTCCCGCTTTTTATTTCAGTTTATTTTCTTCGAATTTGTGTTTGGTTGCCGAGAAAGTGAAGGAAACACAAGGAAAATTAAAATTACTGCAATCCTTTAATTTTTTCTTTCGAGTTCTCTTGATATAAGATAATAATTGAATGACTTGAGAATTTATCTAATTATGGACGATGTTGTATGAAGGTCACTAGCAACTCGGTTGATCACATGCATTGCTTTAGCGAGGCTGCTGGCCGCCTTCAAGAATCCGGTATCTGTTTGTGTAAAAGTGAACTTTCTGATCATTGATTTGAATTGTGCAATACTGCAAGGTAATGACTTGAATTTTCAATTTCAGTGCTTGATTGTGCTACCAAGGGAAATCGGTATATAAATTCAAGTCTCAGGTAATTATTGAATGCTCTAATCACCTTCTCTTACGATTTAATACATAGCGGAAAATAGAAATGGCTTTGAATATGGTAGGATAACTCATAAGTTTTTATGCATAATATGATATGAACATGTCTGCAATAACCGTGATTCATGAATTGTGGTTTCTGCAAGGCCCATTTTTTGTTCTTCACATAATAGATATCGGACTATCTAACATGCCATCATTCGTTTTCTAAGCATCTTAATTTCCTACTGTAATGTATGTCATCTATAAAAGTATTTCTGCGGCGTGTTATTTGTATAGATGTTTGCTATTATTAATGTGTGGCGCACATCCTTGCGATGACTGGCCACAGGAATACTTTCTCATGGAAGTTGTTAACTTTGTTTTCTTTTGAGCAAATCTGCTAATGCAATGCACTGATAGACGACTATCTCAGTAACTTTTGAGTCTCAGTATCTGTTGGGTGCTTTCTTAGTTTTAGGATGGAGAGGAATTAAACTTTTAGGCAACTTTTCTCTTTTTGCTGGGAAATACGGGGGAAGTTTGCTTTTGCAGCATAACAAAACGTTGATTTTCCTATTTTGGGCAGATTGAATGAAGAAATGAAGGGCATAGACAGTCTAGCATTGCAGCTGTATCCTTAAACATTTGTTTCTTTGTATACCCTATTTGTGTGTCTTATATGCGTTATGCTTTGGCCTTCCATTTGTACCAATTACTTATGCTGAAATCAAGGATTCATCCTACGAAGTGCTGATATGAAGGCAGCTGGATGCTCAGTCGAGTATCAATCGGCTGGAAGCTGATAAAAATTGTTAAATACAGTTAAGAATTTAGAATTCCCTTGAACTGCTATTCCTGAAGAGTGCTTTGCTTTTGTGATGTTGATATTGTTTTGGAGTCCTTAATGCATGTGCAGAAAACTCTTGAGGAGAAATGTTGATGCTCTAGACTCAGGTGTTAACAAGCTCCTCCGACTTCCATGATGTAGACCTGTCAACCTGCCAGACGTATGATTGCATCAGTTATCAATGTGGGAACTTCTCTTCCAATTTCATTGTTTATTTATGATTCTTTTGCTTGGAATTTATTGTCATTATCAGTGTCAGGTCGTGGGACAGCTTCATCGGAACCTTTGTTACTTAATTAATGGCCGAAATAGTTGTCCGATTGGCTGCAAATTAAGTAGATGTGCTGCTTTGTTAGCTAGCCAATAGGTGCAGAACGTTGAGAGCATTTCTAGACTGTTACATTGTAAGCAAATATTTGTGTGCAGTAACTCGAGAGATTAGTGTACAGATTTTATCTTCTTCATTCGTTTTAGGCCTTAAGCACTGGAATTAGAGTATTGTATGAAAAGTTGCTTTACATTTTTAAGTGTTGTCTATTTCAAAAACTCTAAGCAGATTTCTCCCTTAACTCGATCTTCAATTGAATTATGTAGCTAGTCTTGGTAATTCACTGAATCTACTTTAAGTTAGTCTGCATAATCTATTTTCAAACACACTTTTTATGCCTTTGCCTGTAACTGGAACCCACTGGAAATCCCTTGACAATAAAATTCTCACGGGCAGCAAATCTTTTGCATGCCTTGGGTAGATCTCACCTGGGTATTTTGGAAGTGAAAATTGTGGATACATTAGCTGACATGGGTTCTGAAAACTTGTCAAAAGTATTTTAGGAGGGCTAAATACCCTTTTGCAGCTTGTAGCCCAGCCCACCCTCTATTTGATTTGATGGTTCTCTAACCCAACTTTGCTAATGGGTTTGGAATTCTGGTCCAAATACTATTACAAAAACAATCCCGTATTTTATAGTGACTCTATACAATGAACCAGACAAAAATTCGAAGTATGACAAAATTTTCCACAAGTGTTCTATTGTAGCCAAAAAAACATTATCATGTGGTCCAGTCAACAGAAAGAAATTTAAAAAAAAAAAAGGATTTCATCAATTGGGTTTTATTTATTTATTTCATTTCACCTATCTTTTCAAATTGGCAAATCATTTTACGTTATGATCTTACATAAATAAAAACTTAGTTAAATATTGCAATTAATGTCAACTTATATTGATTAATATGAGACACAATTTAATAACAAAGAAAGAGTTTGGTCAATTGGCCTCGACTCCAAGGGAGGAGAAACACTTTGATGCAATAGGTATAACACTTTTTGCTATCTCCAATTAATAACGCAACAACATATGGATTAATTTTTTCACGTGTCATTATGTTAGTAGTTGAAAATGACAAAATAATGTTATACCCGTGAAAGAGGGGACAACTTGGTTTATATTAATATCCTTCTTTGCCACCACACAATATATATTTGCTTACACATTATATATTTTAATCTTTTTGGTAAATCCCATATCCTATATCTTTGCTTACACCTTATAGTTTATTCACGAATCACAATGATTTGCTGTTCATCACTGTGAATAATAGACAAAAATAAATACATAAGAAAATAATTAAATGGGAAGATATTGGTATGTTTCAGATTTAGAAAAATGGGGTTGGTGAATGGTGTGCCAATGGCTAATTAAAGCGTTGTCTCGACTCACATAAAAGTATATATATATCATAACATTACATCAACCACAGTGCAAACGAGATCTTAGTTGAAAAACTTCAAAGATACTCCAGACATTGGAAGCCCTAAATGGTCCCCACATTATTCAAACTTCCTATAGTTTCGAAACATAAATTCAAAACCCTACTAATCAATATACTAGTTTTTCAATTTTTTTTTGTCCGAGAAACGTAAGAGATTTGAACTTACTACCTCTTACAACATTAAGAAACGAAATATATATATATACTTATTAAACAAATAGTTAGTCAATAACTTCTCAACATTACTGATTATATTGATTTCACCGACAGATGAAAAATCAGGGCGTATAATCCATACACCCGTCTACTAATCACCCTTTATTTAGCAATGAAAAAAAGGGAACCTTCTGCACAGTGATGCTTGTTTTCTAGCACTGCAGAACTCGAGCTGTTTAGCTACCATATGCATATATAGAGCTGTTTTCTAGCACTACAAGTCAAAACAAAAACACTCAGAGCCTTTCGGTGGGGAACAAAAGATTTGATAACAGTAGAAGAAAGCTACCAAAAGAATCGAAGACACGCATTGGTAGCTAGCAAAACAACTTATAATGCAGTTGCAGAATAATATATATATATATTTTGCCACACAAAAAAAGAGCCGTAATAATTCACAGGGTAATTGAGAAAATACATGAATTTCAGGACTGTGGTCCATACCATGATTTCAACTATTGCCTGTACGTACGTGGCATTGCATGTTTGGTATGTTGTCTTTGTCCTTTGTATTTGTTTCACATTTTGTTTGTTTACTATTTGTTTCACTCAAACATTCCAGAAGAATTAGACCTTGCAATTAGCTTCAAAGCTAGGGATACTCAAGATACTATTCTCCTATCTGAAAAATGTAAGATTCAGGTTCAATTTAATTCAGGAATTTTTCTTTCGGGGGGCAAAACGAAACACGCCTGCCACTTTACCTAGTTTGCCCTTGGCTCATGCCATGCCTCGACCTCTTTAATTCATAATTTTGTCGAACATCTTATCCTTATGACAGTCAGTCTCAAGCAGAAAATCAAATGAATATCAATAAAATTTTATGTGTAGCAACATTAATGGCAGTCACTATAGCTAGCTCTACCATAGATCTGCCAGCGAAAATTACTTTACAATATGCTTTAATTAAAGGTACTTTTTTTTAGTATTATACAACTCAATATAATATCCCCTAAAATCAACTGCCCTCTAATTGTGTGCCCCGTTGTTACTTGAGCCAACTTCTTTGGGTTAGAAATTTGAATAATAACGTCCATTACATGATAACAACAGTTTTGGAATTGCAGAAATATATGTACAAAAGAGTGATAGAGATCCATTACACGTTTTTTGTGTGTGTAAAAGGTGAAGGAAACGTAGTGGATTCTAAAGAGTGTCATATGATTCACACACATATATCGCATTTCGTACTATATCTACAAAAATATTATTTTATCAGACTGTGAATTTGAATTATTAATTAAATTAAATTCTCATTTTAATGTATAGTTTAAATTCACAATCAGACAAATTATCTCTAAATGAATGAGGGAAAAATGAGTTCATGTTTTGAACAATTCATGAAGTACATAATGGTAGGTTGGTCACATTATAGTTCATGTCTCCAATTGTCAAAACGACTTTTTGGTTAAATGATCCGTACTCACATAAATCACATATTCAAAAGAAGAGAACTAAAAAAGATTACATCAAATACAGAAGTGAACGCTCTTAGCCACTTAAACTACATTATCTTTGTTAATATAATTTTATTGCACTCGGGATATAAAGCTGGTGAAGCTTTAATACCACTCTCTTTAGTGGGAAAGGAACTCACCACACCACTTATTTGAGATAGTTGCTAATAGCATCATCTCCAACATGCTATCAAACGGATACTTGTGTCCAAAATATATTATTCTGTCGACACAAGAAAGAGCTTGGAAGAAAAGGTGCCTGCAAATTAATTGAGGCCATTCAAGGAAAAGCAGACAAGCTGCATGCAGAATGCTCTTTACCAAAGAAGAAAAATAAGGCAATCTGCAGAATTTGCGGAGAGATATCCATCATTGTAATTCGTATCCTACACTTTTATTCCTTCCTCTCCTTTCATTTGGAGTCCACATATTTTCTGTGTGGATATGATATTTAATTTATGTTCTAGAACTGCGTCCCTTGGTTACCAAGAAAGAACAAACTCTAGGTCGTCTCAAATTGCACGGCATTTTAGCTTTCCTTGACAAACATGTAAATTTTATTGTAGTTTTTTATGCACGTAATCAAGCTCAAGAAGCTGCTAGTATCTAGGATAGTGCTAAGATATTCTATTGTGGCTGAGATCAACTTCAAAATAGCTAGACGCACTCAAAGCTCAGGTGTCATGGAGTGAAGAAGCTGAAAATAAAGTTGTTATGTCCATAAAAAATTAGTTGCTGACTTTGCTAAGTTGGAAAAGGAGGTTGCACGAAGAAGTAGAGCTTTTACCTAAAGGTGCATGCAACTATGTTATATATATGTGTGTGTAATATATCCCTGTATAATTGCTTGGAATATAATTGTCCCACGTATTAATTGCATGTATGCACGCAAAGGAAATAGACTGACAAGTGTGCGGAAAGTTTGGAATGGTTGCCGATGCAACGGCAGAAGCCAAAGTGACCACTAATGTATTTCTTGCTCAATTGAGAGTGTCAAAAGGATTCAACTACTCCATTGACAATAAAACAATTCATCACAACACAACCATGCATATGTGTATATATATATATATATATATATATATATATATATATATATAAATATATAAAACAAGCATATGATATTTCAATTATATCGGCGTCAAGGACTGTCAGTGTTTTGGGTCCCAATTCACTTTATGAATTTCAAAATGGTCCATCAGCTTCTTATCTCAATAGTTTCTGATAATTTCTCAACGACGGATGGCTCAATTAGTAAGTTCTTTGTATTGTGTGTAGCTTCATTAATGTTTGAGTTTCGTTGTCAATAATTTTTGTTAATGCGCGATTTGTAATTTCTTATATAAATTCATATCAATGGCAACTAGTAGTTTAGTACCACGCGTAAGTCCTTTCAGCTCGAGATTGTGGGTCTGCTCTGGCCTCCTAAAATTGAGGTAAAGAATTGTGTATTGTTGTTGTTTGAATTTTAGTACAGGACTCCTGAAATCTCAAGACCGCCCAGTGATCTCATATCTAAAACTCCATGACACCTTGATAGTGTGTGTGTATGTGTGTGTGTGTGTGTGAGAAAACTTTCTCTCGTTGTAGATTAAACTATCGTTTCTATTAAAAAAAAAGCACCCGATCAACTTTATTTTCTTATCAACATCACTTATGCGTGAATCTCACTATAAAGGTTAAAAACATGCAA